AATTTGACTTTGAATGTAGGAGTTGACTAAACGTGTATTAATAAACAAAAAATAGTTAAGTAGTGATGCATCGTTATTAATAAACGTTGGCAAAACTTTGAACTTTTTTTTTTTGGATAAACAAAACTTTGCACTTTTCTTTTTTTGGTGAACAACTTTGAACTTTTTTTTGTTGGTGAAGTGATCTTCAAATTTTTTTGTAATGCAGTTTTTATAAAAATTTGAACTTTTTATATTAGAAACAAAAAAATAGTTATTGATAAACGTTGGCAAAAATTTGAACTTTTGTTGTGCACTTTTTATTTTATTTATTAATTGTTGGTGAAGTGAATGTCTTTTTATCTGATGTTGTATGTTGAAACAATTACACATTAATTTTTTCTTTGGTTTAATTCGATTAAAAATTTCACCTGCTACTACTTGCAATATAATCACAACACCATTCCTTCAAACTCAAAGCGGGGGATTTTATTTGTTGTTTAATTCAATAAATGATATCAGGACAGGGCATAATGAATTTCACTATTAGTTATGTAATGCCGGTGTTCTGGATATAACAATTTTATGTGTTTTGGTTCTTTTTCGTTTAAATTCATCTCAATTTTTTTTTTGTGCTTGATTGATTTCGTTTTTGAATCGAGTAGATAGTGAAAACACAAACTGCTAATTAGCAATGTATCCCAAAATCCTTTTGGTAATTGTTGCGCCTGCACATGTTGTTTGTTGCTACATATATGGATTTTTTTTTTTTTTGGGAGTTACTCAACCCTAATTATCTCTTTGAGACGAGTTGGCTCCCTCCGGTATCCCCACGAGCTTCGACTCTTTAAGCCGACTATGAAACTAATCCAGAGTGCGGGGGAACAGTGATGACTAAAGGTTCAGCCCCCTCCCCAAGAATGCATTGAGCGATATCATGCTTGTTTTATACCTCTGCCCCTCCAATGCACTCGATTATCATAATCTCTAATTGTTACAATCTATGAAGCACCGACACTTTAAAATTTCTGACGTCGACACTTCTCGACACTCACCGACACTCCAATACTGGTTGTAAAGACTCAAAAAAGGTTCAAATGTTATGTTGCGTTGCATTTTGAGTTTCACTATTAGATTCGTTGAATTATGATTACTAATTTATTGAGTTTTATTAATTGTATATACAAGAATTAATAAGTTTATTATAAACATTCGGGATAATTTATGTTTCCTTGCAAAATTAATGGGTATTATAAGTTTAGCTTTATTTTTTTGTTAAATTATTGAATATTAAATATAATATACACTATATAAATTAAAAATATTATTTAATATCAAAACATGTCCTAACATGTCAAAATTTAATATTTTTTAAAATTAACGTGTCGAAGTGTCGTATTCCATGTTTCGTGTCAGTGTCGATGCAACATAAGTTACAATACAGTTTTCCTACATTATGGATCATTATGTTATTTATAAAAAGAAAAGGAGATACCCCGAAACTGCCCAGCGAACATCCTCTTCCTGACTAATCAAATTTAGAGTCTAAATCTAATAATACCATTGATTAGCTTTTTCGCCAACTGTTTGTAGTTTTGTAGTCTTTAGTCACTCTCAAGAACCGCACATTGTTTGGGGTGCAAAAAGAAGCTTTTTCCCGACTCGTAACAAACTCACCCCACTGAAAATTGAAAATACAATTTTACTGGTATCTTACCTACCAATATGAAAATACAGCATACCAAATGCCGAATAATGTTCTATATTTCGTGTCATATAATACGTTAGTACATGCCTCTTTTATGATCTGTGAATTAATAGCATCATATTGCACTATACAAATTAATTTATTATTTTTATGGAGAAGGATATTGTGATAACCAAGTTGTGTTACTACCAATTGACTACCAATCAATCTCACTGTTAGATCGATTATGTTGATCTAATGGTTATATTTATTTCCATCTTTGTATCGTCATAAATATAACCGTTGGATCAATATAATCGATCTAACGGTAAGATTGATTGGTAGTCACTTGGTAGTAACACAACTTGGTTGTCACAATATCCTTTCCTTATTTTTATTTTGAAATAAACTTTTATTGATCCAAAAAGGTTGAGATTGAGCCTGTAGACTTAAAAGCCAATGTAATCGAGGCGGATTAGTTGGATAGTCAAATTTTCTTCTTCGGCCTAACGCTCAAAAGAGTCAAATTATATCGCATCAGAAAAGTTGAGATGGCTTTGTACGAAGAGGACATGTAACTAGCAGGAAATAAATATACTTCCTGTGACTTCTCAAATCCCTGACACACTTTTAATTACATGCCAGGAACGGTTAACTATAGACACATATACCAGCGCACAACTTAGTATTACGTAAAGGTAAATAAATAATTGTTGTAATTATGATTGGCTCGAAGAAAAAAAAAATCAGAAAATTCAATTCAACCGGATCCGATTTAGATTAAAGTTAGCTTTTAGGTTGACTCGTTTTTAACTTATTTAAATGAACATATAATATTAATGTAATGTACAAGTTTAAGTTATGTGACTTCCATCAACTTAAATAATATAATTGTCTTACAGAATAATTTATAAAAAAAAGCAAAATAGAAAGGATTACAAAATGAGAAATAAAAATAAAATGTTCTAGTTTTGAATTTTCTCCATAACAAATTTGCATCAACATTGAGAAACAATCAGAACCACTTGCTATCAAGTGGGTAAGATATTTGAACCAAATAGAACCAGCACAGCTTAATAATATAAAAATGGCAGCGATATGAGAAGATTAGAGATTTATGTTTAGAGAAGGAAGAAAGATGATGACAGCGTATGTGAGTTTTGTCTATTTTTATATATTATATTTTGTACTTTTTTTAATAAAAAAAATTCAACCCGCGAGTTGGTTTGTTTTTTTTCTAAAGCTGACTAGAGTTGACAGCTTATTCTTGTCAACCTAACCCAACCCAACTCATCTTTGATCGATTACGATATTTTTGCCAACGCTAGTTGCAATATCATTTCAAGTATAAAATAGTTGTACGACCAAATGGTTTAAGTAATTATTTAATGTAAAGTAATAATGTAAGGATTATTTATTAGTTTCACTTACATAACTTGTTAAAATTCAGTCTACATAAAAATTATTATATTTTTTTAAAATGTAGTCCGTATGTTTTTTTGGATACATGTCCGTGTTTATATTTGTTAAATATGTTCAATAAATTCTTAAATATTTATAATTATATCAACAATCAGTAAATTATTATTTTGCGAGGTATCGTGGCGTAACAACTCCTTTTTGCATTGTACAATTAGAAAATAGTATATATAAAAAATTTCGACTAAATTAAGATTTAATTGAAAACAAAAAGTTTTATGTACATCCAATGATAACAATGAACAAGTATTTCCCTTTCATTAAAAATAAAAAATAAAAAAATCATATGGTAAGATTTTGGGCAAAGAATTGTACTTTCCAACTTTAATTTTTTGACTTTACGGGGCAAGGATTTCAGATATCGAGCTTACGATAAGATGAATGATAAAAATATGGTGAATACAGAGTGGCACGCATTGTCATCATATATTGCTTGTGTCAAGTATCAACTGCTCTCTCTGAACATCATATGGGACTGCCCAATTACTCAATGAACAAGATATTTATAATATGAAATGAGATGTTTTGACATCGATTTCAAATTTGAAATTTGATATCTCATCTGATAGTCGTTAGATCAAAAAAGATCAACGACTCTAATTTGTAAGCATGTGACACCATTAATGACTATCAGATGAGATGTCAAATTTTAAATTTGATGTCAGTGTCAAAGAATCTTACCTCTTATAATATTTATATACACTTAAAAATGAATTGGAAAAGGAAAGACAGGATTAGGTACAATAACAAATAAAAGTTATATTTTTCTGAAAAATAAAGGTTTGAAATCTTATAAACATGCACGAAATGAGTTCTGATATAAAATGGTAGAGAGATATTCGAGGAATTAAAAAAAGAAAAGAAAAAAGAATTTAGACATTAGAGAGACAGGGCATGATTTCTATTGGGAAAGTGTCGGCAGTGTTAAAAAGTAAAAAAACTTCATTATATATTAATTAAAAAATATTAATCACATATTATAAGAGATTAGTATCTTATATTATAGATACAAAATATATGAGCCCATTTTTTAAAAGAAAAGAAAAGAAAAATAAATAAGTGAGTCCCGTATATTTTATATATGAGATTTATATTTATCATACAACGTGGAGAAAAGTTAACATAGACTCGGTGCACCATAATTCAGTGTTTTATTTTCTAAAATAAGAAACTTTTTATGACACTTTTATCCCTATCATTTTAGGTATTTCCTTCCGTGTCCTAATTTTTTTCTATTTTTAGAAAAATGTGCATTGCACCGGGTGCATAGTAACTTTTCTCTACAACATGATACAATAATTTTTTCTACACATACAACATTTTGTTGGGTCCGTATTTTTTGAAGCAAAAAAAAAAACTAAAACACAAAAAATGAATCTCTATAACATGACACAATCACTTTTACTACAACATAATTTTTATAAAATCTTTAATACATATGACATAAAATATTAATCTCTTACAACACACGACACTAATATTTTCGGTATTAAATATTAATACGCGCATTACTTATCCTCGTTTCATGGGACACAACTTACCTTTATTGCTGACACAGTTAAATGTGGGGCCATCACAATTTTTAAAACAAAAAACAAAAAAACAATTGGCTGACATTTCGATCTATCAGTAGGATGGAAAACAGTTTTTCCAGGAATGGGTTGTGTTGTTATAATCATTGTATAACGTAATGTGAGCCAATTGTTTTTTCCCTATTAATAATGGGTTGTGTTGTGTTTGTTTTCTGTTGTGGGCTCCCCAAGTTGAACTGAATTTGAAGCTTGAAGCTTAAAGCTTGAAGCTTCCATTGCTTCTCATTCTGAATTCAATCACAGGGAAAGAGAGAGAAAGAGAGATGGGAGTGGATTTGAGGCAAGTGGTGGCTGGTGTGCTGACTCTCACAATGTTCGTCATGCTTGGAAATATGATCAAAAGAGACCACTTTGATTCACTTCAAGTAAGCCTATCTATCTTCTCTTTTTTCCTTTTCACTAATTCCATATGAGAATGCTAAATGTATTGGATTTCATTTCGACAATGATAAATAAACAAAACCCTTTCCTTTATTTACAATTTCAAACTAGGAAACCATAGCTGCTTTATAGATAAGATAATTTGAAGTTGTACCTTTTTGTACACCGCCCCCATTCCTTCTCTTCATTTTCACAAACTTATGTTATGCAATGATTGATTGACTACACCAAGTAAGCAAATTGAGAATCATTTGATCATAGTTACAATATTAGTTTATTTCATTTGCCCTTTTACTTTTTACTTTACAAGGAAAAACTTCCAGGAGGAACGGAGGATACCAACTTTGAGAATGCCAAGTTTGACGCTACTCATGTAACAAAGAATCTAGGGCTTTGGAAGGGAGATGAGGATGACCTAAAACCGTGTTGGATTAAGCCATCTGAAGGTAAGATTTGATTTTAAAAGACTCAGCAAATTATTGAGAAACTTATATCACTCACTAGACATAATCTTTCTGTTCTTTAATAATTCATATATTTTCATGGCTGGCAGTGGATGTGGAGCAGACTGAAGGGTTTATTATTTTTGCATTAACCAATGGCCCGGAGTACCATATTTCTCAGGTAACTGATTCAATGATTATGCTTAACTTAATGGGGAGGTACTAATGTATCAGTTATGTATAGTATAACTACTTACAGCAGTTTCTCAAAACATCAGCAATATTTTTACCTTTAGATAATGCACACCCCTTTCCTTCCAAAATATATGGAGCCATTATTGTGGATTATCAGTGAGAAAGGAAAGACTATTTTATGACACATTCTGGTTACCAGCCAATGCTGATGATGGTTACGCTAAGATTTATAATGTTTTGCTACTCTGTTATTCATGTGCTCCTTCATCAAAGAGTGTCATTGTAAATTTCTCGTTTATTACCATTTTCATTCATTATTCTCTTTCCTTTCTGCTTTCTTCTTCTTTCTTAATAGGTGTTTCTTATCACTGAATATGCCTTTAATTGACTATTTTTTTTTTTATATTTACCATATTAGTTAATTGCGCCAGAATAGCGCCGCGAGCCGCGCCGTGTGGGAGTTGCAGTGCCTAGCGGCAAGAAACCGCGCAGCGCCACATTGCACCAGAACGCAATAGCGACCATTGCGATCACATTTGTGGCCATACTACTATCATAAGGCAAAATGTCGATTTTGTCCAAAATTTAAATGTGTAACAAAAAAATATTAAGGGTTTTTTAGTCTATTTGTGTCTCTCTCTGTCACTTATGCTATCTCCGCCTTTAAAAAATGTTTCTTTTTGTCATTATTTCTGTCATATATCTATTCTGCTGTTTCAACAACAACAACCTGCTGTAACGCTATAGCGTTTTTCGGGGTTGGCCATGACATGCCGCAATCCACAGTTGATAACTTTGATATTTACTGAACCAAGTAATCTTTCCACCAACTGGTGGATCATGCTGCATGTGTTTCTTTCATTACCTGTGCTCTCAATATATTAATCTAATTATCATATAGAACTTAGCCTTTATGCCTAGTATTGAGTTGAACGCCATCCAAGAGGGATGACGGACTGCTTTGCCTGTCCTTTTTCCCCTCTCCTTTCTGCTGCTGTTAGTTCCTAACATCTATTATTGTTAGTTGTTTATACATTGCCTCATAACATTAGATGCAGTCATATCCTGATAGATGCACTTTCCCCAATATGTAATTTCAACTATTTTTTCCTATATTCTCTAATACTCTGGTACTGCATTGTTCAGATAGCAGATGCAGTGATTGTTGCTAGAAATCTGGGGGCAACACTTGTGATACCTGACATCAGAGGAAGCCAACCTGGTGACAAGTGGTTAGTACTGAATTTCACTATATAAAGCATTAAGGATATACTTGCAGAGTTATGTACGGAGGAAGATGTTTATTTTAATCAATTCTCCATATTTTTTTTGGAAGGGGGGTTATTTTACTTTTTTGTTTTTAAATGAGTAACTGTAATATTGTTGCTTGTTCTGCGTGCTGTGTTTATTGTTGTTCATCTTTTGTGTCATCAACCAAGATATATGAGCTATTCATGGACACGATAAGCCGAAACTGAGTTAGCTTCATTTCTCAACTGTTAAAGAAACATTTTTTTTCTGCCTTTTTTGTTTGTAAATATTTAGGGTCTCAAAATATCTTTAGAAACTAATCTTGGGCTTTCACCTAACAATTTAAGTTTTTACACAATTGGTCCTTGACCTAAGTAATGCCAGTCTATTTTAATTTATCTTTCTCTGGATATTGTGAAACATTATACAAGTAATGGAAGCAATTATCACAGGGAAGGGAGTAGGTAGGTGGTTTATGAGCCGCATGATTGAAATGCCTGGCAAAAAACTTTTCATCTGTTCTGTATTGTTTGCTTTACTTCTTAATAATTGTGCCACGTTTAGATGTCCCCCCCATCTCTGCCCTTATTTAAACATAGTAACACACTGCCAGCTGAGTTGAGGCAAGCCAGGGCCAGGAAAAACCCTGGGCCGAGTTGTAGGTTGGAAACTGACTTAAGGCCCTCCAATTAGACAAGAACCAATTTTCAGCTTTGTTATTTCAAGCCCCATTCTTATTGCAAGCTTGCTTTGGAGGTAGCTCAATTTGAACATGCTTAATTGTTGATGACATTAATGAACAGCTCACAGTTGAACTCATTTTTGAATTCATCTAATTTACATAGAGCGTGAAGAAGTACTAGTTTATAACTAATATAAATGACATCTCAGGAACTTTGAGGATATTTATGATGTTGATGTGTTCATGAAAAGCATGGAAGGGGTGGTCAGAGTGGTAAGGAATCTTCCTGCTCATATATCAACGCGGAATATTGCTGCTGTTAAAGTCCCGAATCGGGTTACAGAAGACTACATAGCTGAACATGTTGAGCCAATATATCGAATGAAGGGAAGTATACGGCTTGCAACTTACTTCCCTTCAATAAACATGAGAAAGGCAGGGGAAAAAGGTGACACTGATTCTGTTGCATGCTTAGCAATGTTTGGAAGTTTAGATTTGCAGCCAGAAATGCATGAACTGGTTGACTCAATGGTTGAAAGACTAAGAACTTTAAGCAGAAAGTCAGATGGTCAATTTATAGCTGTGGACTTGAGGGTCCAGATGTTGGATAAGAAGGGCTGCCAAGGTAATGATAATGATGGAGAGAAAAGCTGCTACAATGCACAAGAGATTGCAGTATTTTTGAGGAAAATTGGTTTTGAAAAGGATACCACAGTTTATCTGACTGAATCAAGGTGGGATAGTAGTAGCCTTGATTCTCTAAAGGATTTGTTCCCTAAAACTTATACGAAGGTGAGTTGTGTTTTTTTATTAATCTGCCTGTTTCATCTTCTATCTCTCTCTTGCACATGCAACATACATCTTATTCCATTAGACTACTCTAAGGAAAATCTACAAACTTTAAGAATTTTTAACATTAGAAATATAAAATTCTCCTTGCCTTGGATGCAGGAAACCATCATGCCCGCAGATAAGAAAACAAAGTTCCTAGATTCTCAAGATTCTGAATTTGAGAAATTGATTGACTTTTACATAAGTTCTCAGAGTGACGTTTTCGTACCAGCAATTTCAGGTCTGTTCTATGCAAATGTAGTCGGAAAGAGAATTGGTTCTGGAAAAACCCAGATACTGGTTCCAGCTGATATTTCTGGTTCATCTGCTTCTGCCTCCAATTTTCTGTCCCCTTATGTCTCCAAGAAAAACCACTTTGCTTATTCTTGTTACTGTTAGTTTTCTGTGAAGAATCAAGTGGGAAATGTGTTGGGAATGGAACGAGGGAACCCAAAACTCTTTGCAAAAATGTACATCCTCCAATGAGCCAAATGACAAACCATAATAAGTGGGCCGACACCACATCTCAACCCAAACCCTTAAGGCTGTAGGTTTTATGGGTCTTTTGCAGTTATATGGTCATCACTTGGTCTATGTCTAGCTTATGTGGAACTTACTTCACCACCACTCACTCACACTTGATTATTTCCAACATCCTTGCTTCCCTGTTAGTTTATTTTTTTCGAGCGTTCACCAAAAAGGTTGAGTGTTCACTAGATTGAAGTCATTGTCAAATATGTACAAAGGGGAAGGGCTATCTATTCATCACATGTATTTTGTAAAATTATGGTTGCCTCATATTTATTTTTCATAATTGGTGAATGAAATGATAATGAATTCTTTTGATACTTTAATGCTCCTTGGTATAATGTCAGCGCATGTATTGGATATTTTTTTATTTATTTTTTAATTTCTTTCAGATAAAAGATGTATATTCATTTCTTTGTATTATTATACATCAAACGCAAACCTTGATACAGAATGGAAAGCTTTGAATAGTGGAGGGCTATGTTCCACCGACACCGATACGGGACACGGGATACGACACTACACTACATTCCGATACGTTAATTCTAAAAAATATTAAATTTCGACACGTTAAGACACGTTTTGATATTATATAATATTTTTAATTTATGTAGTATATATTATATTTAGTATTTAATAATTTAACAAAAAAATAAAGCTAAACTTATAATACTTAATAATTTTGCAAAGAAACATAATATATCTCAAATGTTTATATTAAACTCAACAAAATAATAATCGTAATCTAACGAATGTAATAGTTGGAACTCAAAATGGAACTCAAGGTAACCTTCGAATTTTTTTTGAGTCTTTGCAATGAATATTGGAGTATTGGAAAGTGTCAAAGTGTCGGGAAGTGTCGGACACGACACATCAGGATTTTTTAAGTGTCGGTGCTTCATAGGTGGAGGGCGGGTAAATAAGCAGGGCATGCCAGACTATAACCTATATAGATCAGACCAACCGTACATTATTTTGAGCCTGTGTAAAAAAACATAAGATCAAGGGTGAAATAGCCTTTCACAATGCATACAGATAGCAACATGAGCAGCAGATGGTTCATGCAAATGATCAAGCTGACCTAACAGCTTGTTCATTTCGGAATTGAACAGCTTCCATCCGGGGCGTTTGATAAAAGAGAAAAAAAAAATTTATCTTAAAATCACGATTTTCGAGAATATAATAGAAAAGTGAGTTTTCTATGAATGTTACCAAAAAATTGTTTGGTAGACCAAAATATTTCCGAGAATGTTGAGTTAATTTCCCTGTTAGTATACTTGGTTGATTGTTAAATATTAATGGGAATGTGAGATAATTTTACAAAAATAACCTCTATTACAAAAAATATAGAGCTCGTCTTCCACAAGGAACGATTTCCCGGTAGCAACATTCTTCACATTTTTATCGGCCACGAGGGATGCGGATCCTCTAGGCGCCGTTTTCCATATTCCCATGGTATTCCTTGATTTTCGCACAATTTCCTCAGCAAACCCCCAATCCAACCCGTTCTGCCATAGATCAAGAACTTGAGAGGATGTTTCTGCAAAGAGCCAACGTGCTTTGACGATGGAACCACCATTTTTGTATTAGTTGAGACATATTTTGCGAGTTTTTCTTCTTTAGATCCATATCTCAAACATTGACCGTCTTCTTCAGCATTTCTTTCTCAGTCGTTGTCTTTTAGAAAGCATGGTTAATTTTTTCACAATTTTTCCAGGTTGATTTTCCATTTTTCGATAGGATTTTGGTTGCAAAAATACATATAAAATGGAATCCTGGGAAAATTACTTTTCCGGGAAAATATCTTAAATAAGCTACCAAACATTGACATTTTAGAAACCCATCTCCACTTTCTTGGGTTTTCAAAAATAATCCCCCTACCAAACACTTCAATATTTGCTTGTTTCCGTGTGAAAGTCTTCTTATACATGTATTTTCTCTGTCTCTTTCTCTGCAATTAATTGAAAATGAAAGCTATTATAAAAGTGTTTTATGATAATTGTGAAGTCCACGAAGTTGGATCAAACGAGTTGGGTCCTTGGTCAATTTTCATTTTCCTACTATAATGATTTTGGTCTCGCTATTTCAGCTCAAAAAAAAATAAAGCGTCTTTTCATATCCTAATACCAGTTGCTCACATGTCAAAATGAATCTTTTAATTTTTTTGGTCTACATGACAAAAAAGTTCATATAGTGATATGCATCTGTTAAAGACTGCAATAGCCAGTTAAATTGCCTGGCTATTGTGCTTTTTATGGTTCGATCATTTAACTACAGGCCCAAAGTTTGATAGCGTAAGGGGAAGGGAATGCTAGTTTATGATTGGTTAGACCATGCTAATGCTTTCTTGTTCTTGTTCTTTTTTCCTTTCGGGAAGAAATGAACCTTGCCCGACTAAAAAGTCAATGTAATAGTATTTGTAGACTAGTAATTCTGAGTTCTGACAATGTCCAGAAATGGTAAAATGTGTATGTGAACCCTCCCTCCTCCCCCATCAAAAAAAGAAAGAAAAGGAAAATGAGGTATATGCATTGCATAAAGATTGCTGTATGTTTAAAATCCTTTTGGGACATATTTGAGAATGAAAGATTGCTATATATATGTTGAATATACAATATATTACAAATTCTAGAAAGAAGGCTAAGCCATATGAACTAGTAATATGTATATTTATTACATGTCAGTCGTTAGCTTACAATGAATTGCAGGTGATCCTTTTTGCAACCGATGGTCTCTCTCTTGAGCTATTGTTCAGCACGAGACTTCCTCAATCGCCTGAATGACCTCTTGAAGTATCGAGACAGTGGTGTTTTGGGAACTGGAATGAATTTTCCAACAATAGCAAGAGGCCAACTGTTACAAGACAAAATCAGCTGGTCAGTACTCAGGGCCAACATACAATCTCCTGAATGAATTACAAACTTGAATACGAAAATTTTAAATTTTGTTCACATAATACTGCTAAAATATGTCGTGAGGGTAGAATTCAATATAATGATGAATGTGATCATACTGTAAAATGAGCAGAATACTCCCACAATTGTCGTAATCAAAATTACTGCAGCGAGTCAACTAACCTGACAAGTCCGATACAAAGAGAAGCAAGCCACAGCTTCCAATCAAGCCTCACTGTCGTTGTGAACTTTCCAAGAAACTCGATGATGATTATCTAACAATTTGACGTGAGAGTCAGAAATGCACTCAAATGTTGACAATTAAGAACACAAATAACAAGAGGGATGCCTTTTCACCTGAAGTATAAAGGTCACTCCAACAATTCCTACGAAGAGACGGTTCTTTGTCACTCCCCGGAAGACATTCATTTCTTCTGGTTTTCGAGCATTGAATTCATTGAATATCTGTAAGTTGAAACATTATAAAGCTGTTCAATAAGAATATTATGGGGGGAAATTCTATTCAATAATTCCAAGCCTTATTAGATAAGGGACCCTGGCCGATTAGAGAATAAAGAGGGGTTCAATCCATCAACCACGGAGAAACCCCAATCAAACAAGAAAAAAATGGCTCCGCTAACGTAAGGACCAGCCAAATATCTCATATTTTCATTAACATTCACTTACTTGGCACAGGACGAATGCATTGAAAATTAAAGTATTCTTCACTTGTAAGGTATGGGTTTTAGAATCTTGATTACGTAGAATACTTTCACCACCGAAGGTAAGAAAGAGAAGAACAACGACTTGATAGAGAGCCTGCAATGGCAAATTAAATATCATTATAGTATTTAAAGAGCCCTATGTTTCCAATTCAAAGATGATCTTAACAACTCTCTCCACAGAATGAAATATATTTTACCTGTACGATCAAGTTCCTCCACATGACATTCGTTATAAGGGGTTCCCTGAAAGCCCAAACATAAGATCATAGTTAAAGCGTTCATAACAAGGTTAATTCGAAGCCCAAATCAACCATATATAGCTTAGTAGGTTTAACAGTACTAAACATTGAGCTGCATTGTGAGAAAGGCAATCAATAATCCAAACCTTCGGCCAACTGGTGTTCTGTGCATAAGGCGGTCTGTTGGTGGTTCCGTAGCCAGTGCAAGAGCCCCAAGTGTGTCCATGATAAGGTTAACCCACAAAAGCTGAACCAAGAGCATGTGCATCAGAAACCAATATGTACATAATTGAACAATACATACAACTGCAAATAGTGAAATATTCAACAAAAGAGAAGAAAGAGGGCGGAGTACCTGTACTGCATTTAAAGGAACTTCACCAGAAGATACTGCTGCCACAACATTTATTACAAGAGCGGCAACGTTAACTGTAAGCTGGAACTGAATAAATTTCTGAATATTTGCATATACAGAGCGGCCCCAGCGAACAACCTACACAAAGTGAACTAGATATCTTAGACAATTCACAGATTGGACCAATCTACTAAAAACTAGATATCTAGGCCATTGCACATTACATCAATTATTTTATGCAGAAAAGGACAAAAGAATGAGAAGTGATCAGATAAAGGTTAAATTAATAGGAAGGTCGATGTAGTTTTGTTGCATTTTTAAATAAGTATATATAGTTTATTAATTCAATATTTTTTAATAGAATCCGACCTTTTTAAAAATGGGTTTTTATAATTCTCATTCAATATGAGAATTGAAATCTTCCTACACATCATTCGATTTCCGTGCTGACATGGGTCGCACATATAATTTTTTCTAACATATAGGTCTCACATGTTTTTTGTCTCTATAACATAAGATTTCAATTCTCATATAGCTTTTAAAAATTCTTATAAGTTCTTACAATTTCAATAATTTTGTAATTAGGTTCTCATTAAGTATAAAATTTTATAGATCATTTAAATATATAACAACAACATGAAATGACCTATTGATGATT